AAAAAAAAAAAAAAAAAAGAAGGGAGGGGAGAGAGAGAGCACAATGGTGCTTGTTAAGCCCTTCACAGATCTCTCTCTCTCTCAGGCACGGGCACACGTGTTACTTCACACTTTGGCATAGTCTGCTGGAGGAGTTTCAGGCCTGAGCTGTTTCTGAAGGCTGTATTATCTCTCAGTAAAGTAATTTCTTCACCTATGTACTTTAAAAAAAAAAACAAAACACTGTAAGGTTTACATCACTTTCACACAGTTAAGTGAACAAGACAAATTTAGCACCTCTGAAAATATCAAAAAACTATTATGGAGTTTTGATTTAGCTACAGGATGATCCAGTTCCGACTAGGGAAGAACTATCACAATGCTGTGCAGGCAAAACACTGTCCCTGGGACACAACTGCTCGAACTAAGTCTGAAAGTTCCACGGTAATGGACTTCATGACTGATTTCAAGTGATGTTTTCATCCTAAGGGAGAAAAGGTGTGGGTTTGGGGGGTTTTAATCAAACATTTTTAAGTAAGTCTCAAAATAAAAATCACTGTAAATACCAGGAACTAACAGGGACTACTGTAAGCTATTATTTTTTGTGTTTTGCTTTCCCAAACACCACTAAAGTTTACAGTCACTTTCTGTAGTATTCAAGTTGTCGAGAGAATTCTTGTGTTTTGTCTCAAAAGCTTTTGACACATATAAAACCCCATGTTCTCCTCCCAGCTTCAAGTGCAAAAGAGATGTCCATAAATTTGCATGAATACAAAACTGAATTAAATCAAAATCCTAAATTGAGGTAGCACATTTAACCAAGTTTCTTTTGAAGTGCTTCAGAAAGAAACTGTAGAATTTAAAGAGTAATGTCTCTATCAACAAGCATTAAAACCTTTAGTGACTGATGTGCTCTTTCCATTTGAGCATTTTAGGAGCTTGGAAGTTCTTCTTTAGCTCTTCCTTTTCTCCCCCCAAAAAATACTGTTCAGTCCATGCACCTTTAGGTCCTGTGGCATCTATTGCAACATCGATAACGGAATCTGGAGTCATCCACTTCAGGAACGCCAAGAAAAGGAAGTTCAGGACAGCAAGAAGAGCAAAAATACACCCTGTCACTGGGCCACAGTGAGACATGAGCCTGTTAAGTCGCTTGTCCATTGGTAACACCATTTCAGCTGCAACCCTGTCGTACACCTAAATGGAGAAGAGACAGAAAGTAAGATCTAAACCCAATGCTGCTTATACCTCAAAAAAAAAACCCCAAAAAACCAAAAAAAACACCAAACACCCAAAAACCCAAAAAAGGCAGTACTTTGCTGTCAGTGTGCCAAATAAATTATCTATTCCTAACTACTAGATAGGACAAATATTACCCCCAAAAAGTAGATTTTGAAAGTTGATGTAAGAGTACAGTTCTAGAAGTTTAATTAATTCATTTAAGGAAAAAAAATAAAAATAAATGTTCCATTTTTTTGACAGACATCAAGAATATTTCATTAAATAGGAGGCTGCATAATTCGTCTCACGTGCAATATAACATAAAGAGGGTTGTGGGGTGGTGTTTTTTTTAATTAACTGAATGGATTCTAATCTCATATTCACACCAGCCATAGGAAAAGTCTGAATGTGCAATTAATAGATTTTCAACACAGAGATGGATGAACTCATTTAAAGAGTTGGCAATCTTCCAAATCTCAGTATTTGGACAATCAAGCAAATCATAATAGGATACTGGCTTTTTATTTAAAGAAACACTAGTAATTCTTAGCACGATAAAATTCAATGAATGTGAAAAGCAAATACATGTCACTAGTGACTCAACAAACATATTAACCACAATCACTAAAAAAAATTTTAATATAGTCCTGTGTTTCGTAGAACAGAAACATACATACCCACTACACGCAACTCAAAAAGGTTTAAAGGATACAAAGAGTTTTTACCTTGAGGACATTATAGACTTTATCCTACAGGTCACTTAACCATGAGCTTAAAAACAACTGTCTTTTGTACAACCTAAGTTCCACGTGTCCTACTTCCAATTACACTGACATTTTCCTTCACCGAATATTTTAAGAAAGGGCTATAAAGGAAACTGAAATCTAGACTGACTTCTATAAAAACTTTGCAATCGAAATGTCGCTTGCAGTTACAAAAATCATAAAATGAATTGCAGTGACGGTACTTGGAAACAGTAAAATAAACACGATACTTCAAGCAGACTTGTAGGAGAGAGGGATCTGAGTACACTGCAGTGTAATTCAGAGGCCTGTCATTCAGCTCCTCTCTCGCCCACAACCCAGGGGCTGAAGTCAGAAGCGACAGATCTCCACAGACATCTATAACGTTGCTGCAGTTAACGTCCTTCACCGACGGCCAAGTTTTTACACTGAAACACAGTTCTGACGCTGAAATACAACTTCAAAAGCGTGGTCATTTATTTTCCTTACATCCATAGCTAATGTAAATTCAGCCACGTTCAGCCTACTGGCACTAAACTACCTCTCATAATTTTAAACCGCTTGTTAGCACGTGGCAGACAAAACTTTGTAATGAACCCTGTCTTTTGCCTTTTCATGCACGTCATACAACACAGTTTCCAGCTATGCCAGGAAAAATACTTAACATGAACACTGGGAAAAGAAAGAAAAAAGGGAGTGAAAATGTAACTAAAGATCTAGGCTGTTCTTCAGAACATTTACCAGCAGTCACGGCACAGAAAGAATGCAAATACAAAAAACCCATTTAATTAGGGATGTATTGGCGGAGGGAGAGGAGTATTTTCTGAACCTTTTTAAACCACGTGTGTTTGACAGGAAGCACAGTGAAAAACTATACCAAAAGATTACACAGAACACGTACATAGTAATGTTTCAAACAAGCATCTGTTTCAAAAATGTACTTGAAGAGAATGTAAAAGAAGTGGTCATACATACTTTCTCTGTTCTCTCTGCTACATTCCTCCATGTATAAAATGTCTTTACTTTATTATGCACCGATTCTGGAGATGGTAGTGTTCCTGATCTGAGCTGGGCAATAGCTTTTTCTAATCCATCACACAGAGATTTCACAGAGGGTTCGCATAAAATAATGAGATCTTCTGGAAGCACCTCTGGAATCCCACCAACTCTTGTACTCACCACCTTTGAAAGAAACAAAAGAAACAGCACATATGGTGCACAACAATAAAATGAGTGATGACTCTGCTATTACATTGTTTAGCTGCAGCGCTTCAGATGAATAGGAAAAACGAAACCAAACAAGTGGTTGCCATGAAATCAAAGTCGATGCTTTGGGAATTTTACCTGTGTGCAACCTAAAGGTCTAGGCCCTCTGAACGACCTGCCATAGCAGATTACCTTTAACATGTTCAGAATGATTCTTTGGTACCATGACGTGACAGAAGACTCAGTCTAGTGAGTGTTTTATGGGACATCTTTCCTAAAGGGGTTTGTCACGCTACAAAACCAAATCTGTGTAACCAGATTTTGGACTTTATCTCCACAGTTCCTCATGAAAACCGTTACATCCACCTGGAGGGGGCGGTTTTACCACATCCACCTTTGGTTTACAATTCCTAGGTTACTGAACATTTACAAGAATTTCTTTAGAAGTCCAGTAATTTTAATTATTATTATTTTCACATGGAATTCAGAAACTACTAAGACTCACATTATGCCATCATCTCTAAACAGCAGGCAACAATAAGAAAGCTGCAAAACTTCCTCACCTCTGGAGTGGAAAACAGATGACAGGGGAATACCTACCACAACTACTGTCAAAGACATAGGAAGAAAAAAAGAAGTCCCTCACATTTTCAATACTTCTTTTATATTAGATCCTCTTATTAGTCTGTATTTTAGAATAAGTTTCTTTATATTTTAATGTGAGAATCTAAGTTCTTTATGGCTGTTAATTTAGCTTTTTTTGAACTGTCAATTGAGTTATGAGCCAGAAAGGCCTTTTACTGTTTTCTCTCTCTGCAGCTCTAATCTTGAACCCGTACGAGGCAAGGCAATACATCCTCAGGCAGTAAAGAAAACAAAAGTCAGTTCTTGGTACAGGGAGAAAACAGTTCTAGTACAGCGGTTTTTACAGTCTGGTAATTTGATGTGCCTGACTGACCAAAGTTACCCATGCTCATGAGCCGTTTTTCTTCAACTCCTCTTGCATTACTTTCAAAGTAAACCTTCATGAACATCAACTAACCTAAAACTCTGTAAAGGAGCACATACAAAATAGCACTTTGGAGAGGCAGTCTGGTTAGTCCAGAGAACTGAGAGTAAGCAGACGTACACGTTATTCCCAATTCTGCACAAGTTTCTTCTGGGAGCTTAAGCAGTTTCGGTTAACCCTTCTGTCTCAGCTTCCAGGTGATCTGTAAATGGGGGTAGTATTTGCTCACTTTTGTAAAGACAGAACCTCAGATGAAATCAAATGTTAACGAGCACGTTATTTAATCATGAACTTGTTTAAACTGGATACATGCATTCTAGACAGTTGTGATTATTTTTTTTTTTTTACCTGTAAACCACAGCTTGCTGCTTCCACAATTGCCATACAAAAGGCCTCAGTGAGGGAAGTATTGAGAAAAATGTGCCCCTGGACTAGAACATTTCTAACATCCTGGTGTTCCAAGGCTCCTAGGAGACGCACTCTGCAGGTAAGGAAAAAAATTAGATAACCATTACGTTTGGATTATAATAATGCTCTATAATGTTATACATATTCTGAAAAATGTACCGATGGTTCAGACTATATATCAAGAGAAGGAACACAGACAGTTTTGTTCCATTTTCTCTAATTTTTTTCCAGCAACGAAACAGAACACACTGCTTCTTGTTTACACACTAAAAGAAACTTCTGAAATTAAAGCTGGGGGGAGGAGCCGCCCTGCTTTAATGGCAACTGCCTTCAAATCATTGTTACTGAGCTTTCCAGTTCTGTAGGAGAACATGCCTTTCTGCAGTTAGTAATTAAGGTTTGTCATCCTTTCTTTGTTTAGATGTATCATCTGAATTTTCAGTGCGATCAATCCCACAGTCTGTGGGGAGGCAGGGGAGGGGGGAAGTATTTAGGATACAATGATCAGGACCTATTATTTTGAAGAGATATAGAGAAACAGAAAAGGGCAAAAGAAGAACGATACTAAGAAACTATTTTATCGTCCATCCAGAGGAACCACTGACAGGAGTATGGAACAAGCAACAGAAAACAGCGAAAAGGAAATGGTAAATTAAGAACCTTGTCCTTGCCACAAAAAAACAAGAAAACCCCTAAGAAACACACAAATGCATATGCATCACAGAAACATTTTGGTAATACAGTAACGTGTTTGTAGTACCACAAGAACACATACTAGATGAGCAATACCCTGCAGAGTTTCACGCTGAAACAATAAAATAAATGACTAGCAGTCATCCTCACAAGCAGCAGTGACACGAACCAGCTGTCTGACACCTTATGCCATATGGTGCTATGTTATTATGTGATCCAAGCATCATAGTTTCAAAGAGGAATATGATAAATTTATGTCTAAGTCAGCCTTTTGCTGACTCGAGTGAAAGTTCATACAGGGTCTATTTATACAAATTAACTTGCAGGATCATAGTCCAACTCCATAAGCATTTAGTTAGCGTCTGGTCTATCTCCTCCAGCCTCAAGTTTCTAGGGTTTGATTTTTTTTTGGGGGGTGGGGGCGGGGGTGTGTGTGTGGT